CCTGAAAGGTTGATGTGTGCTGCCTGCTGGGAACAGCAGCACCTCCACTCTGCTTTTTAAAGGGTGTTAGATCAGAGGAGACACTGGCACCCTGCCCCTTCCTGGGATGCTGCTTGGGACCTGTAGCACTGCCACTGCAAATTCCAAGAGATGGGGGCAGAAGGGCCACTGAACGCCAACCCTGGTTTTGTACATATCCTTACTGTCGTTGCTGTAGGGTAACTACTTTGTATAATGAGGTGTAACTTAGGGTTGCCTTCTGTTAATATTTTCAAAGTCTTTCGTAAGAGTCTGATCCAAGGCTCATTCAGTAAATTTACAAGGCTTTGGATCAGCTCCGAGGTGACAATTTACTCCCAAGTATACATTACTGTTTAGAACAAGGCTGCTTCCTTTCAATCTGTGTTCTTTGAGAATCTAAATTTGATGGAAAACTAAAATGCTGCAACTGCATCATGAATATAAACAGCACTGATGGTGTAAACACAAGATTGCAGCTTTACTTCTAAGCAAGGAATTGGAAATTGAAAAAATTATCTTACTTAACCACTGCTGTAACAGGGACAAATCAAAGAGTTGAACAACAGCACCATTCCCAATTTGTTTGTACCAGTTTCAAAACATTTGTTGCTTTTCAGCTCTTCTTTGAAATGGTCTTAGATAAAACTGTCATCATCAGTGGAACTGTTTCTACATTTAATTCCTATGTAAAAGTGTGACTGAAAAACTTGAAGTCCTTCACTAGTGAACAGGAAGTAGAGCTTTCAATTTTTTTTAACTTAAAACTAAAAATATGGAAATGCAGTATCACGTTGAAGATGATTTTATTTTGTATTCATAAAACAGGATCAAGGGATCTGACACATTCTACCTCAATCACTGCTAAGGCTGAGGCACAAGTTTACCAGACAGACTCTTTTCCCACTTCCACCCAGGAAGACTATTCTCAGTGTTCTGGTGAACTTGGGTATCTGCTTGAAGCTGTAAATCCAGTCAAACACACACATTTTTTTTTTCTTCTACCTGATGTAGGAAATCACATCATTACAGAAAAAAAGACTGAGAAAATGTACTCAGCTTCAAACAAACTTTTGATTTCTTTCCAGGCCATATATTTTGCTTTAAAGACCATTCCTAATCAGTTGTGCTTCCGGTCTTTTCATCTGGGTTAGCAAGAATCACTATTTCCCCTCTGCTTGGTCAAGATGTCCATTACCAGCTCTTGCACAGTTTGTTTACATTCAGCCCTCTGGATCTACACAGCACTTCCATGTTACAGAACACACAGCAAAGGTCAGGAAGCCCAAAGAGCAAAAAACTTGAACTCAAAAAAATCTTCAGCAACACAAAGATCTCAAGGGTGTGCTTGAGTCTGTCATGCCTTCAAAGGTACAGAAGTGGAAAGGAGCAGCAATATTGTAAAAATCAGGAGCACTGGGGAGGATGCCAAGGAGGCAAGAAAAGCAGCAAACTGTGTGAAGGGCACTGAAAGGAAAAGGAATTAGGAGAAAACAGGGGGTCAGACAACAGAGCATGAGACAGTGAAAAAAGAAAGTTGTCCTGGAATGAGGATGGAAGCAAGCTAAGTATTTTTAAATATTTTTTTTGGATGAGCAACTGTGTTTTTGGCAGAACAAACCAAAACACCACATACACTTTGACACAGTGTTAGATGGTTACTGAGAAAACTTATTTACACATCATTAATTGTAAAATAAAAAACAGTTTAAGTGCAGTGAGTAACTTTTATCAACAGTAATGCAATCTCTAATAAGAAAGAAATTTAAACACTGAAATCTTAAAATGATTTTTACCCTAAATGACAGAAGTTTCCTGATAGGATGCAATGAACCCAGTTCCCAGTTATCCCATGATACAGTTTGGCAAACGTAATGCTCAACTTCACACAGTCATATGCAATATCTACAAAAAAACAGAACTTAGGGGTTAAGTGATAAACACATCTATTGCAGCCTTTCAGACTGGCTTGAAAACAAACTGCTTTTTCCAGGGAGAATGGGAAAACAACAAACCAAACAAAAATTCAGTAAAACCTTAAGCATTACTAATTTCTGAAGAAGTGTAGTAAGTGTCCTCTAAGTACAGAGTTATTTCAAAACCTTGGATCACTCTTAGTAAACGTCAGTATTCACTTAAGCACTGGCAGCTTGATTTTCAAAAGGAGGGAAACATATCTTCACCATCCAAGTTGCCTTCCAGTGCAGCAGAACAGGGAACGAATGCTTTGACCTGAGACAAAACAGAGTTCTAATACACTTTATTATTTACCTGTGACTTTAAACTAGTTACTTAATTTCCAAACTTTAATCTCCTCAGCCATAAAAAGTGATTGAAAAATGAACTCTTGACATAAGGGAGCTGCTACAGAGCTGCAATTTGGGCATTACCCAGTTTGGAGGAAAACTTTCTTTACTCAGCACACATAATAAGGTATAACAGTATTTGGTAACATCCTGCTTTTGTCTCTGCATATAAATGGTATTCAAATCCTCATTTCTCCTCCTCCTTTCTGTATGTGTGAAAATCTCTCAGCCTCCTTGCTCCTCTATGAAAAAAGTATCTACCTTGTGCTTTGCTCTCTCACAAACTGCTACAAATCCCCTTTTCACTATTTCCTCAATATACCAAAAAGACAGTATTTTAAACCAATCCTGTCACTGAAACCTTCTCATGACCAGTAGAAATACCTTCTCCAGGTTCTAAAATGTTCATTCCTCAAATGCCAACACCTCACACCCTGGTGAGGTGCACAAGCTGAGTTTATACCAGTTCTCACTCTCTGAACCACCCTTTGCAGTCTTTCACTCCTTTCCTCCCCAAGTGATTCTCAGTTCATGTCTTTTCTTCCCCCCCCATTACATTAATCTACAGTCACCCATCAAGGAGTATCAAACAACATCTCAATCACCTCTTTCAAGCCCCATCCTTAACCTCCCAGTCTCTGGCCTGCCTCCTGCAACTTCAGACTAAGTGTATCTGTATCTGCTACCTTGTGGATTCAGTAGCTCTTCTTGAAGACATGAAATATGAAAGAAAAAATAAATTTCACCTTCTGCTTTCAGCAAGCTCTTGTCAACACTAAACCTTCTCCTGATTTTCAGTCATCTCGTCTTTCACAATGGGGAACAGCCTTTTGCAAATTAACATCCATTATCAAAATCTGTATTTTAATTAACAGGACAGCATCATTTAGCATGGTCAGGAATTTGCACTCATAAAGACACAAACATTTTAGATACTGCTTTAAATATGCAACTTTTCATTTTAAAACTTTCTGTGAAAACAGTTTTATATTCAGTAAAGCACCGTTCCCAAATAAGGTATTATACAAACAGTACTAAAATACAGATATTTCTCTCATATAACTCTAAAGATAGTTGAAAAACAGCCATTTTTTACCACAGATGAACAGTAACACTTTTCAAACAGAAGTGAACAGTGCTCAATGCTTCATAAACACTGATCTCTCAGTCTACCTTAAAGTAATACAACACTGTGATAATGAACTAAGGTTTGTGATTTTTGTTGCAGAAATTTACTACCTGGCAGAACAATGGCACTCTGAAAACCCAAATGTTTTAGGACTGCCTCATCCTCTAGAAAAATGAAAATCTTATTATGGCAGTGTACTGATAACTGGAGAAAATATTCCTGATGTATTACTGAGCTCACTGAGAACGAACATTTTATGTACAATAAAAAGCAAAGGACGCAAGTTTCAGTATAATCCCCTCAATACAACACTCTTGTGAAGATCAGCAACAGATTACCTGTGTCACTCATCAGGTATTTAAGTGCTTTTCCAAAGCTACAATTTGAGAGACACACACTGACTTCCATTCTCAGGATCTGATAAGTTCATTTACTGCACTGATAACAGAAGATCCCCGGTGTTTCCATGCCCGGCATTTATGGCCCACAGGAATTCCCCAGTTTTGATGCACCAGAAGTGAATGATGTTGATTGCAGTAAGCAAAGCATAAAACTATACAGGTGGTGCAGCTGCCAAGCTTACAGTGTTCACGTGAACAGGAGACTGCTGTTATCTACTGATAAAAGTGGAACAGCATTTGTATTATTTATTCTCCAAGTGTCATTTAGTATTTGTAAATGAAATTCAGTTATTTCATGTATTAAACTTCTGACATTGGTGTGAGATAGGAAAACAGTAAAATGAAAGCAACTTTTCAACATGACTAAAAAGAAACACGCAGAAATAAGGTATTCCAGCACATTTTAACTCTTGATATATGGTAAGAGGGAACTGAGAAAAAAAATCTTGGGTTGAATATTTCTCTCAATTAAAAAACTGAAATATAGTCTTTAACCCTATAAATTAAGATTTAATTAAAAGCCCCCAACGAAATCTCTGCAGCTCCAATTATGAATGAAGACTGAGAAGTTTTCACTTCCTTGCATGTGTTCTCAAGTTAGGTTCTCATTCACTGCATTTTCCACATGAATTTTGAGTTAGCATTTGTTTTGAAACTCTTCTGCAGTGACCATTCTCAGTGCACAAGGCTGCTTAACCCAGCCTGCACAGTATCTTGGCTAAACAAAGAAATCAGAATGTCTCCCACACAGACAATCCAATACTGAGATTTGTCTTTCCAGACAAAGGCTGAGTAACAGAAATGTTTCCAAGGAGCATTTGAAAATACCATGCAATAATATTTTTCCCAGAAGTTAACTCTCCCTATGAAACTAATTCAGTAGGTAATCATATGGACGACATCCAGCCAAAGATACACTACACAAAAGCAATACTTCAGCATACAGACATTTGAATCTTTGTTTCACCATCATATTTCATGACCTGTTGGAAATGACCATCAACTCACTCATTGAGGTGATCAGCCAGTAACTAAAATGCAACAGCTGAACACGATGTCAGAGCTGACACAACACTGGATCTGATCCGAATCATTAAAATATTTCCATTTTTCCCAAACATCTCAATTACGCCTCTGGAATATTACCTTTTCATGAATTTCTTGTGTAGACTGAGCATCACAAAATGCCACTGTGGCTACATCCTTCAGAATAGGCATTTCTACTGTACAATCCCTGCCATCCAGCAACGCTACCAAGGGGCGCGGGTGCATGGGCCCGTTCATGATCGGAGGTCGAATGCCTGCAAGGAAACAGAGAACACTTGTTATTCAAGCCATGCAAATGCAATTAAAAAAAATAGCTTATAGCTAGTCTGTTTATTCTGATGGCAGAAAAAGATTTCAAGGACTGAAGCTAATAAAACAAGAACAAGTTTACACTCAGCAGTCAACCAAACACGGAAGACGTAAAGAAAAAATTCCACGGAGGTTCAGGAGGCTGAACAACGAAAGATGGATAAAACCACTAAGGGAATAGTATATTTGTTTTTTAAAGATATATCCTTACTGCACTATTAAGAAGTGTCTGTGCTATCTTATCCATGTTTTGATTGGATTCCACACCTTTGTGAGCTCGAGACAGAGTGAGAAATATCTTGTCCAGGCTTGCAAAAGTGTAGCTTATGGAATATCATAAGCAAGTCAGTGAGGATTTGAGTGTTCAATTTACATATATAATGATGATTCTGCTGAGACTAAAACATAACTGAAAAAAGCCTACAACAGCAAAATGTTGCATTTACTGAGGATCCAGTGTCCAAGTTTACAGGCTAATTACTGATCTATGTAGGTCTGCTTAGACTTAAAAAATTTTACAAAACAGTCCTATATAGCTTAGTCAAACACATCATACTTAATCCACTACTGAAAACTCTTATAAAACATGAACAAAAGGCCTCTCCCTAAACCAACATCACACTTGGAACACTGTGGAGTGACAAAGAAATTCACATTAAGTAGCTGGGGGCAGGAAAATTAGTCCCAACTGCAGACTTCATTTACATCCTCTTTACAGAGTCTTGAAATGAAAAGTAATCCTTAAGATAGTTAGAGAGCATCTTTTTTAACAGTGTAGATGGGATAAACACACAACAGTAGTCAGAGGAATAATATTAAACTGGGGATAATATTAAACCATTACATTTACACAAAAGTAGTTAAGCGTGGGTGGAAAAAAAAAAAAAGGACTTCCTGAAGAGATAAGGAAAAGCAAGACCAAAAGTACATGGGTTTTTTTTCCTCTTTTAAAATAAGTTTTAAATACTGCAAAGTGAAGCAGGCTAGATCTTTCTTATATGCAAATACCACCATATTTTTGTCGCAATGTGAATTTTAAAACATTGCATATTTCCTTGATAATCCAAGTTAGTCCAACATTAATGCAAACGATGGAAGTCCCCCAGTTAACTCCTACAAGCAGTCCCTGCCTCTTAAGTCCCAGACTGGGTCAGAAAGCAAGCCCTGAAAGACTGGTATCTGCATTTTAAGTGGATGGAAAATTATTAGAATCCCAGCTGTACAAGGCATCTCATGAAGAAAAACAGCTGCTGGGAAGAGAGATTTTCACAAGTCAACAGAAGCAGCCTATTACTCCCCCACTGGGACCAGGCTCAGGTCTGGGCTGAAGGAGACTCCTGCCCTCACAGTCCAGCCTCAACCTATAAACTCCATGTCCAGCCCTAACCAAGCAGGGATGATGGTCCAGCCCTACTACAGTCTGGTATTTAAGTTCCTCAGGCATAAAAACTTTGTAAAGAAGACAGAACAAGAGTTACTACATTTGGCTCTTTCCTGTTCTAGTCACAGTGTCTCCCAACATCTGCTGATGCTGATGGACTGACCCTGCAGTGCTCTCACCATAGCACAGAGGCACTGAGATGTGAAAAGTACTCACTAGCAAAGTTTTCCATGAGTACAACACCCATGAAAACTATGCTCTGCTGTAAAAACACCCACTCCTAACCTCTGTTGTGATAGACATGCTTAGAAATGCTTCTGGTACACGTATTCTTTCAGTAACATCCAGCCACCAAAATTAGATGGGAGCCTTTTAAATATAATTTTTGAAAACTGCACATCCTGTTAACTTACTATTGATACCTGTTTGAACCAGAAATGGCCACCTGAGCCCCATACAGTCATTTTCAGTATACAAACCACACATTAGTAATGCAGTACATGTCAGGAACATAACATGAATATACAACAAAGCTACGTAGTCACCCACAGAACAATTACTATCCTTTAATGGGAACTTAATTATAAAAACCCACATGGAACTTACTTTAAAAAACCCCTAAGATAAAGCATGTTACAGATTTGCTCATATTTCTTTCAAAGCAGTATATGTAATAGCATTACCTAAAATGCAATTAAGTGTTGAAACGAATGCAAAAATGACACTGCAAGTCCTATTCATTTTGCTTAAAGTAACTGTGTTCACTTTAGAGTTGAAATGTTATGGTCATTGTCTTGTCAGTGCAGCAAAGGCAGAACTTCAATGACAAGTTTGAATGCTAGCTAGAATAAAAAAACCCCAGAACTTTTGATACTGAAGTCGTTGTAGATGAATGAGGAAAAAAAGGCACAGAGCTATAAAAATATGGCATAGAGCTACAACTAAAGCAGCTCTGTCAACAGCAGAGCACATTCAGTCCAAACAGAAAAAGGATGAGATTAAAAACTCTCACCTCTAAGAAACACTTTTCTGACTAGAGCTATCTCAGAAAACCATTAAATACAACAGTTCAAAAAACAGCCCTTTCAGATAATGATTTCTCTAAAACACACAAAGGTGTGGTCTGGTTTTCCCCTCACACCAGCATATCTGAAGATTTCAACCAAGTTACCTGTGTAACATCAGTGCTAAGGGGAATGCCAGACGGAGCCCCAAAGCACAGAAACAGAAGTCAGAATACAACTAGAAGGACAAACTCTCCCCAAGAGACTTTTTTAAGAGTCCCTAGAATTCAAATACACCCAGTGACCTTGACCACAAAAACCCTACAAACCTTTGCTTGCCAAAATCCTTTCTGAACTTCAGCATAGACTTCCTGTTGCACAATCCTTCTGCCTAAATATCCTGTCCCTGAATCGCAGGCAATAACTCAACACTTAAGTAAACTCACAGGAACTTCATCACAGTGGCAGCCACTAGTTAAGGTTCACATTCAGAGAGACACGGCTTCACTATGAATAAGAACCTTCTGAACAAACCCCTTCCTCTTCCACCACTTAGATATGTTCTGCCCATCTCTTATCTAGAAATGTCATCCTGCACCATGCCTTTGGCTTTGCAGCAGACCCTCGGAGAGGCAGGAGGAAGCAATGTGTATTTAAGAGCAGTATTTTGCATGCCTGCATTTACAGCAAATCATGCAACTCTGTGCCAGAGAGAAATAACTGTAAAGCGGTCAAAAGTGACATTCAACACCACAAATGTGAAACTAATTTAAACAAATAATTTCACTTAGCTGGCTTATTTAAGTATATGGCATTGCATTTCACATTACACAGATAACAAAAATTATACCATCCACCCCCACATCCTATAATCTTTCATTATGGGAAAACAATCTCAGTTTATCCTAACTCAAGACTTTCAGGAACCCCTACCAACCTGACATTTCTTAATCTGAGCTTGGTTTCCAGGGTCATGAATTCGATTTCTCAATGCTTTACAATCTTCAGTATTCTGAGGCAAAATAGCAGCCTGTCATTCCATCCTCATTTCCATGTCTTTAATTTTTCTTGCAGCCTCCTGTAATCTTGAACCAAAGCTTTTAAACTTCTTATCCACTGCAACCTCTGTAGCCTGGATGGCGTTCAAATTTTTACTAAAAATTAAACACAAACAATACATTAAAACAACATTAAGGGTCTGACTCGTGCTCACAGAAGGCAGGAAACTCGAAGTTTAAAGCTTCTCACTGCATCTGTACCCTTCCCCCTTTGGCTGCTGGCTTTCCACCACACCTGCTGTGCTGCCACAGGCCATTAACATACCAGGGAAAGCAGCAGAGTGTTAAGGCACACGGGGCACCTTGCTCAGGACAGCGGGTGTATTGTACATACACGTACCTGGAACAGTCGGCACCAGGGCCAAGGCTTTGCCTGGGTGAGCAGGGATCCAGGGATAGGGTGTGATCTCCAACATCCCCCCTCCCCGTGCTGGAGGGCCAAGTGCTCCAGTGAATACCAGAGATGGAGTGAGAAGCCTTAACTCTGATCTTGCTGGTTTTGCTGGGTCTAAGTCAGGCCCTTAAGGTTATCTAAATGTATTTATGCAAAAAATCCGAAGTTTTCCCAACAGTTCTAATCCAGCTATTACTTAGGGGTTTTTGCCCACTCCTCCCCACCAATATGGAAATAATCTGGTGGTGAAGCTCTTGCCCCAGTAACAGCTACTGTGCCAGTGAGTGCTGGAATTTTTCTAAATTAATACCGGGTATGAGGTGCACAGACAGGCAGAGCAGCTCTCCGTATGCAGCAGTTATTCACCATGTGAATAACTAACAGCAGAGTACCCTTGCACAGCTGCAGTCTGGACCAGCTCTCTTGGAAAGAAAAACCTATCAAAACCTCAGTCTAGTCCAGCTTTTATGAAAAAAAAAAAAAAAAAGAAAAAAAATCAGTTTTCAGCTGCAGAACCCGAGAGGAGGCCAGCCCCATGTGCAAGCACTTAAGTGCCTGTGGGTCCCACAAACAAGAGGATTAATCAACACACTGTCCAGGTTTGCAGCCAAAACAAGAGGAAGGGTCATGAGCTATCCTATATCTCCTCTGGCACCATGAGGACTTAAAAATGATCAGACCAACCTCAGAACAACATGTAGTTTTTTAAGCTAGAGAGAAAAGGAGCTACCTAAGCAGGGTAGTGTCCTCACCGCTCCCAAATCCAACCTGTGCCTCCCATTGCTCCTGAAGCAAAGGTGCATTATTTGTGCTACACTCCAAGGGGGATGAGTTGAAGCCAATGCCATTAGGCATGCTCATGACTGGAGGGTAAGAAAGCTCTCTAGGCTCTAACATACTCTGGGCTGTTAAAATGTATTTTAAACCTTTTGTAAAACAATCTTTCATGTTCCGAACTGACAGTTACTGAAGTGATCAATGCACAAATAACTGAGGCTGCCACCGCTTACTGACATCAGAAAACATACCAAAATGCAACAAGAAAAGCTATTAGGATTAATGATGATTAACAATGTCATTTTCACATTTTTCTGCTGCTGATTAATGGAACATCATTAGGATCAGGAATGTCTCATATAAGGCATACACATTAACTTAACTAAAGGACACTGTCAGGTTTGTAGGCCCAAAATTTGACCTACCTTTCATTGTCTTAAATCTGTTTGCAAAGTCCATGTAATTCTTTAAATGTGTTTTTCTTTTTTCAAAACAAATGCTTCAATTCTTTTTTCTGAAAAATACATCAATGCCAAAAAGCACAACACTTATCAGTAACCCTATAATGACAAACCAACAGGCACATGAAATGGAGGAGAGCAGCCTGGCAAAGGAGAGTTGTCACGTCTCTGGGGATTCTTACAAGTGCAAAGATTTAATAAGCAGGAAAAATCCCTTGACAACGTCCTTTTCAAAGAATTTGTGTTGCAAAACTTTCTTTATACACTGTAAAACGTCAAAGTGATTTACGTTTTTAACAAAATGCAAACTACTGAAAAATCTAATCAATATTTACAAAAACAAGAGCCAAAAAATGACAGGTTGGATGTTCAACTGATTTACAGTCTTGCACATGTAACATGAGACTAATCCCCTGTGGCATTTACCTTTACTTTATATTCTTACCTAGGCATAAATTCAGTGAGAGCTGTCATTTATTTACCATAAACCCTCAAAAAAATTTGCATGTTTTCCAAAACTAAATGCTAATATTAATTCAAGTAAAGAACAAGTTGTCAAAACAAACAAAAAATATCCTCCTCATAACACGAACACAGAAGCTGTTATGAATTAGGTTTGCCAATATGCACTATTAAAATTCCTAGAAACATCATACTTCAAAAACATATTTTAAGGTTCCTGACCTATGATGCATTTTTACTCTTTGGACTTTGTTTTGAGAGATCACTGTTTTGTGCACCGTGAACTCAAGTGACATTAAGATTCAAGGTAGAGCAAAACTCTAAGAGCAAACAATTAGAAATAAATTTTAAAATACAACACAGGTACAAGGATCAGTAAAATGAATGCAAGGAAAAAAAGAGCACTTACCAGCCTTCAGTATTTTGATATTCAGCATATTTAGATGCTGAATATGCAACACAAAAATCTCCTGATTCCACCAGAATCTGAGCCAACACTTTTTGTTGCTGCCTTCAAGACAAGCAGGATGCAAATTCCCATGATTTAGGATATGGGACTGGAGGGCAGCACAGGGGAGAATATTCTTAAATAAAGAACACCAACAAGGGGCATGCACAGAAAAGTGACAGCCACCCTCGGAAGACTGAATTACTCAGCAGATTAAATTTAATTTCCTTCTTTTCTCAACTCATTTAATGCTTCTAACTACGTTTCCTAAGATTTTTAGGAACCAGTTGCAAGGTTTATTAAAATTTATAGGAACAATCCCAAACTGATTTTCAAAGGAGCAAGATCTGGACTTGACAGTATAAATGCAAGAGAAAACTGAGTATAAACTTCACTTGAAGCATGTGTTCAGTCCCTGTGGAAGTCCCCAGAGCTCAGAGGTTAAGGCTGAGCACACTGAAACTTTACTGGAAGAGCAGAGCACACCAACACTGTTGGCGCCTATGCTTTTTATTTACCCAAACTCAGTAAAAACAAGTCATCTTCCTTCTTTTCTTTTTAATTTGCAAGAGACCAAGAAAAATACAAGTGGTTTCCTGTGCTGTGTTGACCCACTGATGTGCAGAGCAGTCACACCCGGTTGTATCCTCCTGGTAACTGTGCAGGTTGAAACGCACCCAGAGCTCCACAGGACACTCACAGCTCAAGCCCTCACACAAATGTAAAACCAACACCACCGTGTAATTACCACCCCAGCCCACAGACTTTAATGGTACTTGGATTTCTGCACACATCTCACCATTATTTCACTACCTGTGAGAAACGAAGCTGGGTACCCAAGCAATCACTACAGCAGAAAACACAAAGGCCTCAACACAGTGTTTGGAAACAATGCTCTTACTTGATTTTCCCTTTTGGTACCATCAAAGCAGAATGACCCAATGATTTCTATTTAGAAAAATTCCACACTTCCCTGCTGTTACTGGAACCTGAATCACGGTTCCTCATTACTTTTCCACACTCACACAGCGGGCAAACTTGCCATTCTTAGACATTATTCTGACAACCACGAGGATATGGGTTTCTGTTTTATTTTTTAAATAGCGTTCCCTAACCAGTCTTTTTTAAACATCTAGTAATTTTGCTGTTATTTGTCCAGCATCTGTCAGTGTCCACACAAAATCCTAAGTGCCTGCCAGGGTACAATAAAACAAAAGGTCCCACAAGGCACATCTTGAAAGCCTGTGATCAGAAATAAAGGTCCGATAAGGGGAAACAAAATCATCTGGTAATATTTTCTATTACTACACATGTACTTCAAACTTCCACAAGAAAACTGGAAGTATTTCACATCTGTCAAAAAATTACTCAAATTACATATTTGGAGCATGCTGTAATGATATGCCTAATCTTAACTAATACTTTTCAAAATAAGACTGAAAACAATATGAATCACACCTATTTAATGTCAAATAAACAAGCAGTAATGGCATCATGAGCTGTGGTAAAATGTGTTAATTTTCTATCACCATTTACAAAGCAAAACAAATTAAGATATTCAGTAACAACTATATCAAGTATCAAAACCAGAAAGTCTAAGTATCTGCAATAAAACATACACAAAAACCAATGTTGCAGAAGTGTTGCTTTCAAGTATCACATACATGAAAGCAAATTCCAGAGAAAAGCAAAACATTTTTAAGGCCTGAGTTTTCCCTGGATATGCAGCATCTTAGTGCCTGTCCACAGTGAATATTTCACCACTTCAAATATTTTTACCTTTATTAAGTAATAAGGGTGGGGGGGAGGGAAGACAAATAAATGAGCAATGGTGGAGCTGCCCTAGCTGAGTTCACTCCCATCAATCCCAGCTTCAGAGAAATTCTGGCTAAGGCTGCCAGCTTCTGTTACTTATTCCATGAGTTTTATGGTGACTGTGGAATGCCCCTGCCCACACACGCTGTGGCAAAAGCCACCAAGTATTTGGTAACTTACAGGAATCACTGCAGGGAAGCTGGGGACAGTCCCTACAAATAAAGAATCAAGGAACTTGAGAATTATGACCCTCAGCAACCACGTTTGCCAGGACTATGGACATCAATTTCCCAGTTATTGATGGGGCAGCTTCTCCAAAATAAAGAACTGAAGGCATGAATCAAGTCTGCATCACAAATGTTCCCAGAGCTCACCATATGCTGGGTGTGTATCAGAATATGCCTCCACTTCCATCCTCTCCCAGGACAACCATGGAGAAGGCTGATTATGGCAACTGGAGGGTAACCCACCCTAACACACTCCCAAACTCTAGTTTAAAATACAACTGAGCTTATATTTCAGACCATAAATTTTATGGGTTGGTGGGTGTGACTTAAAAAATAAAGGGGGGGGCAGAAAATTCCTGCTGGCAGTAACTGGAAAAACAATCTGCTTCAACAATTGCACTAGGAGCAGAATGATTAACTCCCCGAGCCATTCCAGTAACAATACAGATCATGCCAAGACTTACTAAAACACTTTCCACGGAAGAAGCGGGACTGGAGACTTTCAGGACAACGTTTAGAATAAATAACCCAAGCCTAGAACGGGTTGGCAAAGCAGGGCTGTGCTGCACATGAAGGGAAGTACATCAGTGGCCCGGCCCCTCGTTCCTTTAGCCATGGATTCAGCACAAAGCTTGGAAGCACTGCTTTCTCACTTTAAATCAAGTTATCAGAACTGCCATCTTGGCTGTGATTTGGATAAAAGCTGAACAGCCACATAATGTTAATTTAAAATGCAACTCCCCTAAGGAATGACTCTTGATGTGCCTGTAAAATATGATGTATTTGAACTATGTAGGAAAAAAGAAGAAAATGGTAATTTGCTCCTCCAAAAACATTACTCTTACAGTCAGTTATTTTATTCCAGCAGGTTTGGGTTTTTTTGTTTGCTTTTTTTTAAACCACTGCCTCAGCTGCAAATATGCTTTGGGATAAAATACCACTTTTTAGCATTGTCAATGCAACCACTTTCAGAGTATTAATTTCACATTATATTTTAAAGACACTGACAAGTATTTATTACAACATAAAATTTCTGAATGTAGCCTGCATTAATGGCTACTCTCTCTCTGTGCTTCTTTCCTCATACTTTAGATGCTGTACAGGATTCCAAGAAAGAAACCCAATAACCTGAGCAGAGCCAACATCAAAGGCTTCCTTTATTCTGATCCCAAACACCAAAAGCAATTTCTCTAACAGCACACCTGTACTTTGACCCAAGAACGTTAAACTATTACCTGGGACACTCCTTATTTTCCTTATCAAAAAGTCTGAAGATAAGTAAGTGTGGGGCCTTGGATAATCAAATTAGTTTCATAAGATTTAATTTTTTTTTTGAGGTCAGTAGAGCACGCTCAAATGACACTAAAAATAACAGTATGGAAATATTGTACATATTGAACTCTGACATCTCCAATTTCTTCATAACTCCTGAAACTTTTTTTCCTGTATTTTGGGAAAGCAGCAAATGTGATTCACCATCCTCTCAGCTGAACATCATGATGCTGTATGTGTCAGCAATCCTTACAGTCAAACAAAAACAACAAAAAACCTGTGATTCTTGTTTAAGGATGGGAAGAAGGGAGGAGAGCTGGAAACTTCCTTTACGACAGACAGCTAAAAAACTTTTTAAAAAGCAGACAAATATATATATATAGAAATATACATAATCTAGACTTCTAAGATCAGCATAATTAAAACAGGTCAATTCAACACAGCATTAAGGTTTCTGGTAAATGAGGATAATAAAATCCCTCAAGTTACACTTCATTATGTTCTTCTGAAAACCAAAGAAACTCTGACAAACGCTGAACCTCTGCAAAGGGCTCCTTAAAGCTCTTTTTTCTCTCTCCCTTTCTGGTTCCTCCCACAGCCACTGACCTCTGCTGTTCTCTGTCAATATTAAGAAAATGGATGATGATGATTACAAACTAGAGAACAGTGCTGTTGTAAAACGAGAAAATTTGAAGCAATGAAATCAAAGTCCTGCACCTCCCATCCAGGGTCCTCTGCAGCCGAATCAAGCTTAAATAAACAGTTTTTTCTCAAAAGATATTCATTTTGAAGGTAAGCAAACAGGATGTATAAAAATGACAAGCTCACTGA